AGTGCAAAATATGGAAGTATACCTATTAGACTATTAACCTCATTTGCTTGGTGGGTGGGGAAAAATGAGAAGGTAGGAAAAAAACATTAGTAAAATATAAAAGTATATATATTGTAACAATAAGAAAATACATAAAACTAAATTTAGTTAATTTTATAACTAGAAATTAGAAAACCTAATTAGAAGATGACAAATAAACAAAAACCAAAATTAAATTAAAGAATAAGTTTGTGGAAAACCTTGACCTAAACTCCTATATTACTTTAAGAGGTATTTTAAGTGCAATAAAACACAAAAGAACTTTTATGATATAATATGAAGGGGAACAAAAACAGAATTCCAATATGTATCACAGTATGAAATTGTATTAAATAAGCAAAAAGCATGCATAAAGTTTTTAACTTACATCAATATCTACTGAAGGCAGAATTACACCAAAATTTCACTAGAAGAATTATACTGATTTTTTACCTCTTACTCCACATGCTTCATATAATACTTTAATTTAAAAAGTGATTTTTAAATGCCATTGGAATACCAGCTAATATTAGATTTGATGTCTCAAATCAAGAAAATGAAATGGTTTTAGAGGCTTAAAAATTAATAGCAACATCAACTCATTCACTTCTGAATTAAAGACTGTAATAAATTTGTTTTTTATTCCAATTTGTAACAATAGGGAATTGATTTTTTTACTATCAACATGGAATCTGTTTATTATAGAAAAGTTGCTGGTAATTTTTCTTAATAATAATCAAAGTTTTGTGATTAGTATCCTAGTGTTGTAAGAAAAACAGAGCTGAAAAGAATCATGTTCAAAGAGAAGTCTCCTAAATAGCCCACCACCACCACTACCACCACCATCATCATCATCACCAAGCATTTACTTAGAGCTTAGTACATGCTGAGCACTTTCAGACAAATCACTTAATCCTCATTAACATTCCTAATAAGGTAGATACAGAAGTCATCCCCATTTTGAAGGTGAGGCAACTGATGTCCAGGGTGGTTAAATTCCTAAGGCCATATACAGCTGATAAAGTTAAGCCAGGATTTGATCCAAAGTCTACCTTCAAAATCATGCTTTTTACCATCATACACTATTACTAGGCTAACTATACATCTTATTATCCAAACAAGACTCCACAGAAAGTAAAACAGGACACCATGAAGAAATATGCCTGGACAGTAGGCATAAAATGGGACTATTCCAGGTAAGCCAAGACACGGGCTCACCCCATCTACAGCTCACAATTATGAAACTTTGACACTAGGGTAAAAGAAAGGGCAGTAGCCAACAATATTGGAGTTTAATTTTCCTTACAACAAAGTGTGAAACAGGAATATAAAGATAAGATCATTGGTGTAATCATCCATTAGCTCTGATGGCTTAGAGACTTCTACTTAAGAATTCAACAGAGCCAGGCTGGGTGGCTCAGCCTGTAATCCCGCACCTTTGGGAGGCTGAGGTGAGTGGATTGCCTGAGCCCACGGGTTCGAGACCCACCTGGGCAACTTGGCAAGACCTCATCTCTACAATAAATCAAAAATTAGCCGGGCATGGTAGCGCGCGCCTGTAGTTCCAGCTACTTGGAAGGCTGAGGCAGAAGGATCACCAGAGCCCAGCAAGTTGAGGCTGCAGTGGCCGCTCCCGGCCACTGCACTCCAGTCTGGGCGACAGACTGAGACTCCAACTCAAAAAAAAAAAAAAAAAAAAAGAATTCAACTGAACAAGCACTTCACTTATACAGTTAACACAAGGCTCAGAGAATTAATATATCAATTGACCCAATGTAAAAAGCTGAAAATTATCACAAGCCATTGAACTAAAAATCTATAAATGAATATTGATACCTAAAAAGATGAACTTAAGGAAAATGTTACCTAAATTATTACTTGCACAAAAATTAAATTTAAAGACAAAGTTCCAAATTTATCAAAAGGCAATAATAACACTGCTTTTTGGGTATCAATAGCATATTTCATTTTAGGTGACTTGATGTCAGAACCAGTAGATAAATTATATCAAGAGGCCTGAGGCTGACTAAGCAAGGTTTTAGTACAGAGCTAGGGCCCAAAATTCAAATCACCTCTGAAAAAAATTAACTCAGGCTTGGTAAATAAGATGAGATAGACAAGTCAAATAAAATAATCTAATTTTGAAGTTCTGAAACATTAAAACAGGTAAAAGCCAATTACCAGCAAGCATAATTACTAATACATTACTAAACCATTAGTTTCTAAAAAGTGCCAAAGGCCAATAAAAGACATGATGGCAGCTGGAAAATTTACTGGATATTTCTGTTCTGCATGAAAACAAAGCAAGACTAACAATTTACTCTAGCACAGTGCCAGAGAAGAGCCCTACAGCATTGTGCATGTGACTCACATCTGTTTCCAGGACCCCTGACCCAGAAATTCTGATTCATTAGGCCCAGGTGATTCTGATGCGGAAGGTCAATGGAAAAAACTGCAAACAGCACTGACTTACAGCAGAGGTTCTCACACTTCGGTATACACTTCAGTATCAGAATCACCTGTAAGTCTTGTTAAAGCAGTTTGCTGGGCCCTTCTTCCCATGTTTCTGATTCGTTAGTCTAGGGTGTGGTCTAGGAACTGTTACTTCTAGCAAATAACCAAGTGATGCCAGTACCTTTGAGACCACTTTGAGAACCACTTCTCTAAAATAATGAAAAGCAAAGCATCATAAAGAGATTCTTCCATCCAATTAAAATTAAAATATTTTTAAAAAGCAAAATTAAAGTGTAAACGCCTTAACTAATCAATATTTGTCAAAAAACAAAGGCTTAGGTTTTAAAATACAAGTTTTATTCTGTTTATAAAGTCACATGCTTATTAGAGAATATTCAGAAAACAAATCAGAAAGAAGAAAATAAAAATCAACCATAGCTCATCCCTCAGGATAATACTTTGGTATTTATCATTCTAGTTTTTTCCCTAAGTAAGTGTGGGACTATCTTGTACTTTTATTTTTGTTTTCTTACAAAAAGTTAATTTTCTTATAAAACTGCTGTAACAAAGTGCTGAGAAGGAATATAAAGATCATAATAGTGTCATATAAGAATACTATTTTTTAGTTATTTAATATAGCATAAGAATTTCCAAAATTATTGAATGACTCTAAAGTTTGACTTTTTAAAATGAATGCATAGTTTGATTTCTTGTTTAAAGGCAAGAGTATTTTTATAAAATGAACCAAAAATACAAGCTGGCATCACTTTGCACAATGCTGTGCTAACCAAAACACAGGGATATGGGAACTGTGCCCTCCCATGGCATGATTCTATGATAACTATGGTGACTGTGCAAAAAGAGGATGTGTTCCAATATGCACAAATTTTAGCTATAATTTCAATATCATGCAAAGCAAAGACTGCTAAAATTGAGGGCCATAATGAAGAATTCCCAACTCATCAAGAAAAGGTACTTACTACTTAGTCAGTTTTCACAAACATGAAAGAGGGTTATAAGAATTCAACCAAAAAATAAGGATAAGACAAAGTTTCTGTGCACCAGTAATTCGAATGTAGTGTTTCTATATATTTAGGCCTACCAATGAAAGCTATTTGCCACAAAATATACACCAACTGCCTAGAACCTAAGTCTATATTTGTAAAATCAGATATAACATAATTTCTTTAAATATTTAAATGTACTTTAAATGATTAGAGTTTATAATGAATATTTTAAAGGTCTATGACAAATTTTAAAATAAACAGCAAAAGAATATTCTGCAATCATCAAGTTATGTCAAACTACTAATGCCTAATCAATGTTCCTTTATTTCCAATATGCAGAAATACACTATACCTAGGGTAGAATAGCATTTCTTATTAAAAGAAAAAAGAGTAACAAGATACACAGCATTAGGCAAGTAATTAAATGTCATGGTAAAAGGTTTACTATACATTGGTTGAAACATTGCTGCATTTTGTGTGTCAGTTCATATGGCTCAACTTAATATTTCCAGAGCAAGCAAAAACAGGTAGTAAAGAGATTACTGATAACTAATCTTAGACAAACTAAATCAACATAGAATCATCACTTACTTATGTCAGAAAGACTCAGAACTTAAATTCTATCCTATGTTCTAAGGAACATTTAATATGCAATTTTCTCACATATTATAAAATAATGGTAGTGTATCATATTAAAATATCCTTTGAAGAAAATGACTTGTGTAAGCAAAGCCAAATTTAATAGCAAATAGTCACTATATCAATCAACATTGCTTACTGGATGATATAAAGAACAATCTTTGTATTCCAAGTATATGTTTTACAATTTAAATTTAATAAAACTAGAATTTATCATATATACCATATATTTTACTATTTGTCCCATTTTACATTAACAAAAAATCTGCTGGAAAAAATGTATATCATATGATGGTTAAATAGACTTATCTCATATATCAAATAGTTGTATTTATCTCTGCTTCTTAGATGTATGCTAAAATACCAATTATAATCATGGTTAAATGTACTTTTAAGTCAAAAAATGATCATAAATAATGAGGAAAAGATAAACAATAAACCTATCTTTGCAAATAAAACCTGAAGACTTGCCATCTTATTCTTGTTGTACATAACCGGAATAAGCTTTTTCTCAAAAAGGACACATAAAAGTATATTATGTACTGGAATGGGCATAATGGGACTATGCCCAAATGATAATGATCGTAAATGATTAAGAAACAGAAATAAAGAGACTAAACTGAATTTTGTTCCATGGTCAAACAGTTGAGTCCAAAGTGTGAGTGAAGGACAAGTTTTCAGAATTTATGTTCCTTTAAATGCTGCCATTCATTAATAGTTATTGATATCAGATATATGGTACAATTCTTAATATGGTTGACTTACATCATTAACACCCTACTGAATTAAATGTATATCATCAGTACAATTCTTTTTAATGTTCTTAGTATATGGTAGGAAAATGGACTTTCATATACTTTTTTCTCTGTAACTACAGCTTACCTCTTCCTTCCTCTAATCTGTGTCTTCTGATTACACGCTGCCGTTTTTCTTCTTGTCGCAACTGAAGGTGTTCTTCAATGTTAACCCCAGGTACTGGAACAGCTAGATGATTGACCAAAAAATAATAATATTAATAACATATATGTTATGTAATAGCTATCACAGAACTATACAAAATCAAGGAAGAGCTAGCAAAAACATTGTATAAAACACAAATTATTTTTACTATAAAAATTCTTAGTAAAAAAGGAAAAAGAAGCAACCCTAAAATGATATCACACTCTCAGTAAGCATATGACAGTACTGCATATGTTAACTATTATTTTTTGGTTTTTTAACATATATCTAAAAGAAATTAAGTTATCTGAATTGCTGAATTGAGGACAATATGTTTAGTATAATCAATCAAATTACCTAAAAGAAGATCTAAAGGTATCATTTCTTTTACTGCATCAAGAATTCCTCTTTGTCTTGCCTCTTGACCATCCAATTCTCGTGCACAAGCCTTGCAACATCCACACACAGCACAGCCAGATTCTCCGGAACCACAACCACAGATCCTTTAAGAAAAATAGACCACTGAAATAAGTCTAATTTTTCTTTAAAACTCTTTTCTATAACTTCCTTTGTGATTAAGTTAAATGAGTCAGTAATAAAATCACCTTTTCAGACCAGTATATCTATTTTAAAGTAAAGATATGAATAGAATAAGAACAAAAATAAGTTTATTAAACTCCCAATAGGCATAATTGGTGTATTTCTACAGAAAATACAACTATAGATAGATTCTGCTATTGTCCAAGTCACTATTTTTAAAATAGTTTAAAAAGTTTTTGCACAGCCAGGCTCAGTGGCTCAGCCTGTAATCCTCGCTTTGGGAGGCTGAGGTGAGTGGATTGACTGAGCTCACAGGTTCGAGACCAGCCTGGGCAACTCAGCAAGACCTCATCTCTACAATAAATTTTTTTTAAAAATTAGCTGGGTGTGGTAGCATGCGCCTGTAGTTCCAGCTACTTGGAAGGCTGAGATGGAAGAATCGCTGGAACCCAGCAGGTCGAGACTGCGGTGGCCAGAGCCGCCACTGCACTCCAGTCTGGGCAACAGCGTGAGACTCCAACTCAAAAAAAAAAAAAAAGTTTTTGCACTTAGTGCAGTACCAGCAGCATTAGTATTAAGTGGCCTGAAGGGTTGGTTGGCCAAAAAAACCAGGCTGCTATCTAGCAGATAAGTGAAGGTAGCTTGTCAGCTTCTTCTATTGTGTCTTCTTCCCCACCTTTTCTTTACATTCTATCATCTCTCATTCTCTCCTTTCACTGTGTCTAAATTATATGTTCCTTTTTTGTCTTTGTCCCTTTAATATACTATTTGACTAGAACACTCCTAGAAATCGGCTAGCAGGTCAGTGAACATCACCTTCTTGGTCACATATTTTGTAGAAGTCATAGCTTTAATGTTATTCATTGGATCAGTCTTTAAAAACTTTTGACAACTTTGCTGAGCTCCCAGTTATCTAGAAATGTGGAAGTACAAGAAGAACCTACCTGGCAGCAATCTAAAGGACAAAGCTATGCACCGTGTGAAATTTCTGACTTTTAAAAGCAAGCATTACAATCAGGAGGATCATTTACTACACAGTAAAAACTATGATACAATAATAAGCCCAGTGAGTTGTCCACGAACACTATTTTTAAAACAGTATTTATGACATCAATTCTTCTCAAACTGTTCCAAAATATTAACAATAAGATTACATTACCTAATTCATTCTATAAGGCCAGGATTATCCTGATACCAAAGCCAGACAAAGACACTAAAATTTTTTTTTTTAAGTTTTTGAACGTCAGGCCAATATCCCTTATAAACATTGATGCAAAAAATCTTCAAAAAAAATACTAACCGAATTTGGCAGCACATTGAAAGAATTATGCACAATGATCAAGTAGGATGTATTCCCAGAATGCAATACATGAAACTTAATCCATGTAATATATCACATTAATAAAGGGAAAAAATGTGTGAGCTTCTCAATTGATGCAGAAAAAGCATTTGGCAGAATTCAATACCCTTTCATGATAAAAACACTCAACAAACTACTCAACATAATAAAAGTCATGTATAAAAACCTAGAGTGAACATCATACTAAATGGTAAGAGACTAAAAGCTTTGCCTTTAAAATCGGGAACAAAGCAAGGATGTCCACTTTTATCACTCCTATGGGACACAGAAATTGAAGTTCTATCAAGAGCAATTAGCCAAGGCAAAAAAAAAAAAGCATCCAAAATTGAAAAGAAGAAAAATTTTCTCTATTCACAGGGACACAATCTCATTTATAGAAACCACTGAAGATTCCACACACAAAAAAATGGTAGAACTAATAAATGAATTCAGCAACATAACCAGATACAAAGTAAACACACTAAAATCAGCTGTATTTCTTTCTGTCTCTGTCTCTGTCTCTTCTCTCTCTCTCTCTTTTGAGATAGGGTATCGTTCTGACACTCAGGCTCGAGTGCAGTAGCATGATCACAGATCATCGAATTCTTGGGTTCAAGCAATCCTCCCATCTCAGCCTCCACAGTAGCTGAGACAATAGGAACACCAAACCATGTCTGGCTAATTTTTTTTTTTTTTTGGAGACAGGGTGTACTTTACCCATGCTGGTGTCATATTGCTGGCCTTAAGTGATCCTCCTATCTCAGCCTTCTCCAATGTTGAGATTACCAGAGCAAGGTACTACACCTAGCTCAAAATTAGCTGTACTTATAAAAACTAACAATGAACAAACTAAAAGAAAATTACAAAAACAATTCCACAGCAGCAAAAAGAATAAAATACTTAGTAATTAACCAAAGAGGTAAAAGATGTGTATAATGAAGACTACCAAACACTGCTAAAAAAATAAATAAATAAAGACAGCATGAATAAATAGAAACACGTGCCATGTTGAGGGACTGAAAGACACATTACTGTTAAGACGTCACTACTACCCAAAGCAATCTATAGATTCAATAAATCTGTAGAATCCCTATCAAAATCCCAGTGACTTTTTTTTTTTTTGCAGAAATAGAAAACCCTATCCTAAAATTCACATGAACTCTCTTGGGATTCCAAAGAGTCAAATAATCTTGCAGAAGAAGAACGAAGTATTCACACTTCCTGACTTCAAACCTTACTACAAAGCTACAGTAATCAAAATAGTGTCGTACTAGCATAATGACAGACATATAGATCACTGGAATAGAACAGACAGCCCAGAAGTAAATCCTTGATATATAGTCAAATTGAAACTGACTATATAAAATACAGGGCCACAAGATAAAAGCTATGGAAGAGGCTGGGCTCCGTGGCTCAGTCTATAATCTCGTGCCTTGGGAGGCCGAGGTGAGTGAATTGCCTGAGCCCGTGGGTTCAAGACCCAACTGGGCAACTTGGCGAGACGTCATCTCCACAATAAATCAAAAATTAGCCGGGTGTGGTAGTGCACGCCTGTAGTTCCAGCTACTTGGAAGGCTGAGGCGGAAGGATCACTGGAGCCCAGCAGGTCAAGGCTGTGGTGGCCGGGAGCGGCCACTGCACTCCAGTCTGGGCGACTAAGTGAGACTCCAACTCAAAAAAAAAAAAACATATGGAAGAGACCTGAGTCCTGCAAAGTGACAGCTATGATTAAAAAATGAACAAATCTGTTGTTTCTAAGTTTGCTTTCACTTCAATAGAGAGCTATTGATTATCTTCATGTCCTGACTCCTGGAAACGGAGGAAGCAGCCTGTAAGACTGATAAACATATTTTCCCTTAAAGATGAGCCTGAGGTCACATAGATCTCCTTGATGGCATGCAGAAGTTTGATCTGCAGAAGGACACAAGTGCTTAATCTCTGGGGATTCCCACTCTCATACTTTCCTTCTAAAGTCATTTCTATAATGGCTTACTTCCCATGGGTCAGACAGTAGCTGAAGGTTGTAGAACTTGCTTTATAGACAGCTTCTCTACTGCAAAACCTAAGGCTGGTGTTTGAGATGTTTTCCAAAACTTTAACTCTGCTGGAATGACCCCACCTGAAACCGTGACTCATACCAAGGAACTGACTCCACTGGTACTGGGACCCATTTCCAGAAACTTGTTGTATGCACAAAGACAATTTTGACACTCCCATGACTTCATTCTCAATTAATCAGCAGTACCTGTTCCCTAACCTTCACCAACCAAATTATTCCTTTAAAAAAAAAAAAAAAAAAGCCTGGCCTAGAATACTTGGGGAGGTAAATTTGAAAAACATTTCCCATCTTCCTCACTCAGCTGCCCTGTGATCACTAAACTCTCTCTCTCTGGCAGACTACTGTTAGTGTACTGGCTTTTCTGTGTATCAGGCATTAGAACCCAGTCAGGTTATAACAAAACAGTTTTTAACAGAGTCATGATGATTCAGTAAGGACAAGACAATCTTTTCAACAAATGGTGCTGGAAAACTAGATATCCACATGAAAAAGAATGAAGTTGGAACTCTACCTAACATCATATACAAAAAGCAACTCAAACTGGATCAAAAACCTAAATGCAAAACCTAAGATTATCTTAAAAAAAAAAAAACCTCTTAGAAGAAAACATAGGGAAAAAAACTTCACAATATTGGACTTGGCAATGATTTCTGAGATATGACAACAAAGGCACAGAAGACAAAAGAAAAAACAGACAATTTGACTTCACAAAAATTATTTTTTATATTTGTGCATCAAAAGGCAGTATCATCAGAGTAAAAAAGGCAACCCACAGAATTTTTTGTTTGTAAATTATATATCTGATAAAGAATTAATATCCAGACTATATAGAAAACTCCTAAAAACAGCAACAACAACAAAAACCTGACACAAAAATGGACAAAGGACTTGAATAGACATTTCTTCAAATAAGATCTACAAATGGCCAACAAGCTCATGAAAAGATACTCAAGACTGGGTGCAGTGGCTCACGCCTGTAATCCCACTACTTTGGAAGGCCAAGGTGGAAGGACCATTTGAGCTCAGGAGTTCAAGACCAGCTTGGACAACATAGTGAGACCTTGTCTCTACAAAGAAGAAAAAAAAAATTAGCTGGGTGTGGTGGCACACACCTGTAGTCCTAGCTACTCAGGAAGCTGAGGCGGGAGAACGGTCTGAGTCCAGGAGGTCAAGGTTGTGGTGAGCTGTGATTGTGCTGCTGCACTCCAGCCAGGGAAATGCACTCCAGGCTGAGTAACCCAGTGAGACCCCCAACTCAAAAAACACAACACAACAAAACAAAAAAAAAAATAGATGTTCAACATCACTGATCACTGGGGAAATTCAAATGGAAACTATGAGATACTACCTCACACTCATTAGGATGGTTACTATCAAAATAACAGAAAATAACAAATGTTGATGAGAGTGTAAAGAAACTGAAACACATGTGCACTACCGGTGGGAATGTAAAATGGTAGAGCAGCGGCGGAAAACAGTGTGTCAGTTCTTTAAAAGATAAAAAATAAAATTATCATCTGATCCAACAGTTCCACTTCTGGGTATATACCCAAAAGAACTGCAAGCAGGGTCCCAAAGAGCTATTTTATACTCTTATTTACAGCAGGATTATTCGCAATAGCTAACATGTGGAGGCATCCCAAGTGTTCATTAACATATAAATGGATAAGCAAAATGCAGTACATACATACAATGCAATATTATTCATCCTTAAAAAGGAAGGAAATTCTGACATATGCTACAACAAGGATGAACCCTGAGGACATTATACTAAGTGAAAAAAGTCAGTCACCAAAAACAACTACTGTATGATTTCACTTACATGAGGTAATTAGAATTGTCAGAGTCATAGAGACAGAACGTAGAAAACTGACTACCAGAGAAAAGGGGAAGGGGAAAGTAGGGAGTTATTGTTTAAAGGGTACAAAGTTTCAGTTTTGCAAGATGAAAAGTGTTATGGAGACGGTGGTAATGGTTACATGATGTTATGAATGCATTTAATACAACTTATCTGAATACTTAAAAATGATTAAGATGGTCTATTTTGTGTTATATATGTTTTATCACAACAAAAAAATTAGGAAAATGTTTAATCCTAAATTTATTCTAAGATATATAGTCCTATTTTTATAATAATTGAAGTCAGTTTTAATAGTTCTTAGTGTCCTGGCATATACTGTGTTAGCTTTATTCATATATTCATTTCGGTTCATTAATCAGAAAATTATACATGGTTAGTATTGTCCATATAGGTCTCTAAGGGTAGAAAGCACACAAAGAATTGAATAATTAATTTCATAAAAGACCAGAAATTTGTTTGTGATATATACCAGCTGCTTAATCTCAGAGGCTAAGGACAGCACTGAATTTTAATGGAAATACTTGGAAGTAATCCAGGAGAATAAATTTTAATTATAACCTTGCTTATTAAAAAAAAAAAATAGAAACATTCTACATCCAAATTAAGTTTAAAAATAAACAAGACAAAAAAACAGTATCAAACACAAAGCTCTGTAGGATAAATGTTAAGCTCTGATAAAGAGAGTAAAAATAATTTTGCTTATGTTAATAACATAAAGAAAATTCATTTTTTTAAAAAAATCATAGTATTTCAATAATCTAAAAGAAAAGGCCAGTTACATATGCTCTATTGCACAATCCTAGGTCAAGCATAAACCTAGTCCAGAAAATATTTAGGAAGAAGCACTAGACTATTAAAGAACTGCCAAATAGGTCAGAGAGGCAGGCAGAGGTCGCTGCCCTTACTCTGGTCTTCTGTGAGGTAACTGTCCAGATATAGACTTGTTTCCTCAGTACCTGGCTTCTTTCTGGCCCCTCCCTCAGGCAGCAACCTCTAGGCAAAGCTAACTTCTTAAGGATATGCATGATCCCAATAATAAGTCATGGATGCAGGTGATTGAACAGAACTGCAAACAATGTAGGTGTACCCTTACTCACTTGTAAACACCGTATAGCAATTTGAATAATTAATTTGCTTGATTATAAAACTCCTTGCTGTACTGTCCCGAGACACAGATTCCTTCTTCACCAACTGGTCACCATCAATACCTCCTATAAACCAAGGACATTCCCCACTAGACCTCCAGGTGACTTCTTTGGAATAGGCATAGAACATTATGCATAAACCCTCCCAGATTTGGGGTTGTTGCACTACAGCTTCTCTTCACAAAATTTCCTCTACTCCCTCAAATCGGCCAATTATCAGAAATCTGATTTTACAAAGGAAATCTCGTTGTTATATTGGCTATAACTGGCAATATAAAAACTGGATTCCAAAATTCTTTCTAACATTATAGGGGAAAAATTGCATACTTATTCTGCTGAACTCACATGTTAACTTTTAATCTACAATAATATAGAACCCAGAAAAAAAGTGTGATCCATTAAGAGGATATATATATCAAAGATAATGATAACAGGTATGATGCAACTTCACAAGCAGGAGTACTTAAAATTCCTAAAATTGCAAACAGTAAATTTTAATTTAAAAGAAAATGATAGATACCTAATTGAGTACTCTATATGATAATTCTGCTTAGAAAAGACTCATGTTCAACAAATTGAATAGATATTTGGCATTATATAAGCAAAAAATATACAAATAAGGGCACAGACCCAAGCCTTGAAGAATTTATAACACTTTTTAAATAATCGTTTAAATGAATCAAATGAAAGACAACTTTAATATGACACTAAATGTGGAACTATTATAATAGAACCAATGATAAGAATTATAGTTATATGGATTCTTGGTCTGTTGGCCAAGATCAAGTGAAGAATTGTAAGTATACACAAATAAACCTTCAAGAAACAAGATACTAAAATATACTCTGGATTAATTTTTAAAGAAATGTATTCTGGCATTTTCTTCAGTAGGAATCATTTTCTTACCCTCCAGGGACTCTGTCTGGACGCCCACTACTGACACAGCTGGCTCCATAACCTGTACAGTCTCCACAGACAGTACAAACCATGCACTGTTCCAACTTCCATTTATGCATGCCTGGAGGGCACATCATGGACTTCTCATCTTTTTCATCTAGTTCTTCTTCCAGGTCTTCATCCATGGCTGTTGCCATATTTTCAACTCCAAATCCTATTTGACAAACCAATTTATAATTTTTTTATTCTCATGTCTAAAACATAGTTTATATTTCTCAATTTAAAAAACACATGACAACATGCTAATCCAAGAAATGCTAAAACATAAGAGTACTAAAAATTTTCAATTCAGGAATTACTGATAAATGCTCTCTCCATTTCATTTCTGCAAAAGAAGACAGGAAGTCTGTTGTCAAACATATCTATTAGCTATTACTTTCATTCAATCAAAGTTTTTAATCTTTTCTGATTTAGTCCCTCTTTTCCATCCTTACTACCAACACTTTCTCTCAACAAACCGAAGAAAGCCTCCTAACCATGCTCTAAGCCAAGAATCTCCCCAACTCTAGAACTGTCAGCAATGAGCTTTCTAAAACACACTTTTGATCCTATGACTTGGCAATTTACAAACTTCCAGAGCCGGGCTCGGTGGCTCAGCCTGTAATCCCGCGCCTTTGGGAGGCTGAGGTGAGTGGATTGCCTGAGCCCGCGAGTTCGAGACCCGCCTGGGCAACGAGATCTCATCTCTACAATAAATCAAAAAAAATCAGCCGGGTGTGGTAACGCATGCTTGTAATTCCAGCTACTTGGAAGGCTGAGGCGGAAGGATCGCCGGAGTCCAGCAGGTCGAGGCTGCGGTGGCCGAGAGCGGCCACTGCACTCCAGTCTGGGCGACAGAGTGAGACTCCAACTCAAAAAAACAAAAACAAAAACAAAAGAAACAAACTTCCAAAGCCTTTCCAAAGTCTTTAGAAGAACAAAACTCCTCAGCAAGAGAAGAAAGAAAAACAATCAAATAACCATACAAAAATACAACTGTGATAGAGTTCTGCAGGAACACAGTACTCTAAGAAGAGAACAAATCTGTGAGAATCTAGTCATTATTTTTGGTTTGATTTTCCTTCTAGACTTATATCTTCAAAGGCAAAGTTAATGTTTTACTCACTTTATCTCTGATTTTTAGTCAACCTTAATATGTATTTATCTCTTACACCTAACATAGAGCTATCACTCAATATAGGTTTAACTAACCAGGAAATAAACATATAGCATATATAGCCTTTCTGGGGTTTGCCACTTTTAATCTATAACCAGGCTGGAAAATTAGATAACCAAGCATCAGATATAGAGTTAGAATAAAGCAATAAAGCAATCCTAAAGGAAGCCTAAGTGACTCTATTTTCACTAACAAAGCTAAAAAGTATTGACCACTTATTTGTTCCTGGCTCTACTAGCATCATTCATTTAATCATTCCAAAAGTAGTGTACTATTATCCACAAATTAATAAGTGTATTCAATGGAACCTCAATCACAATGCCAAGAAGATAAAGCTGATTCTAATTCATATAGAAAATAAAAGCTCCAACATGAAAAATGCTGACATCAAAAATTTTAAATTATATATAATAAATGAAACCATAAACAAACCACCAGTCAAAGACATATATACAACACATACTACATATTAAAAAGCTCTTACATATCAATTTTTAAAAGGTATATAAAAATTTTAAGAAAGTTTGAAGAGATATCCAAACTCAGTATTAATAATCAAGGAAATTAATATTAAAAGAAAATGATAGACCTAGCAACTCTACTCCTAGTTATCTATCCAAAGGAAATGCATAAAAGTTTTTGCCAAAAGATATTTACTAGGATGTTCATAGTAACACTATCGATAATAACCAAACCTAGAAACTACCCGTAATAAAATAAAAAATGTTAAAGTGTGGTATCCATGCACAATTTAATATACAACAATGAGAATAAACAATCTATAACTTCTAACAATATGCATGCATCTAATAAATGTAGAACTGAATGAAAAGCAATTAGACACAAAAGAGTTCATACAGAATGAGTCTATGTATATAAGTACAAAAACATGCAAAATTAATTTAAAGTGTTAACTGAGAAGTGTTAACTATCTAGTAACTGGAAAGGAGCATAAAATGAGGCCTTATGGGGTACTGGCAGTATATGGTTTCTTGATTTGGGTGCTGATTCACTTTAACATTCACTTTAACATTTTTTATTTCACATGAGTGAAAATTCATCAAGATGCTATGTATATTTTTCTGCATGAACATTATACTTCATTATAACAAATAAATTACAATGAGATATTTGATAGTCACCAGTTGAAAAATCAGAGTCCATCAGTATCAACTATTTGAGTTAATGGGGAAACTACTGGTGAGAGCATAAATGGCAATAATCTCTTTCAAGAAAAAAATGAATGAGGTGAAATCTGTAATGAGGCCAATTGCCCTAGAGAAAGTTTAACACGTTTACCAGGAAACATATATAAAGGAGGTTTTAAAATTATTTGTAACAATGAAAAATTGGAAATAAACTCATCCATCAACAGGAGAATAGATAAAATGTGGATGGCAGGTTCATTGTATGGTTTATTATCAGCAGTTAACACAACTCATTTAGATTTAGACACACCAACATGGACATATCTGCAACAGAATAGTGAGGAAAACACAATTTGCAGAAAAATGTAAAATAAAAGTTTAACACTTATAAAACCACATAAAACACATTTTATGTGTAAAATATGAGTATGCAATATATTTTACACATAAAATATAAAAGAACAAGCAAAAAATATAAGAACATGACTGAACATATACTTGACAGAGTCATAATCACAGCTCTACAGAGAAATGAAATATAACAAGAAGTCTTAGGAAGGGAATACATGGCATTTAAATCTTACATGTAATTTAACTGAAAATAATGACAAGATATGATGGTAGATACATAATTTTTTAATATCTCAATGCTATTTTCTGCACTTTTCTTGTTTTTTAAAAAAAACTTTTAAAAATCCCTTTATATTTTTTATTAATACATAATAGTTGTACATATTTATAGGGTACATGTGACATTTTTATATATGCATACAATGTGCAATGATCAAATCAGGGTAACTGGGATACTCATCACCTGAAACATTTATCATTTCTTTTTATTTGGGATATTCCAGATCATCTCCTTGCAGCTGTTTTGAAAATGCTATCAATCAGAACTTATTCCCTTCTATGTAACTGTATTTTTGTACTCGATAATGAACTCCTCCTTCTCTCCCCATCCCTACCACCCTTCTGAGCCTATGATAACTTACTACATCCATGAGATCAATTTTAAGCTGCCACATTTGAGTGAGGACATGTGATATTTGTCTTTCTGTGCTCAGTTTACTTCATTTAACATAATGTCCCCCAGTGCAAGCCATATTGCTGCAAATGACAAAATAGAATTCTTTTATGGCTGAATAATTTTCATTGTTTTATATACATTTTCTTTATCTCTTCATCTGTTGATGGACACTTAGGTTGATCCTTTTTTTTTTTGAGTTGGAGTCTCACTCTGTCACCCAGACTGGAGTGCAGTGGCCGCTCCCGGCCACCGCAGCCTCGACCTGCTGGGCTCCGGCGATCCTTCCGCCTCAGCCTTCCGGGCATTTAAATCTTACATGTAATTTAACTGAAAATAATGACAAGATATGATGGTAGATACATAATTTTTTAATATCTCAATGCTATTTTCTGCACTTTTCTTGTTTTTTAAAAAAAACTTTTAAAAATCCCTTTATATTTTTTATTAATACATAATAGTTGTACATATTTATAGG